TGAAGAGGAGACTCACTACCGCGCCTGTCCTATCTATACCCGACCCTACTTTGGAGTTCACCATCTATAGTGATGCTTCGAAGATGGGTTTGGGATGTGTCCTTATGCAGAAGGGGAAAGTCGTAGCCTATGCTTCGAGGCAGCTGAAGCCTCACGAGCAGAACTACCCCACTCATGATCTCGAGTTAGCTGCAGTTGTCCACGCCTTGAAGATTTGGCGACACTATCTCTATGGAGGCAAGTGTGAGATCTTTACCGACCACAAGAGCCTGAAGTACATATTCACTCAAAAGGAGCTGAACATGAGGCAGCGTAGATGGTTGGAGCTGGTCAAGGACAACGACTGCACCATTAGCTATCACCCTGGGAAAGCTAATGTGGTAGCCGATGCCCTTAGTCGAAGGAGTTATAGCCAGCTGTCTTGCTTGTTCACCAGGCAGGATGTTCTTCTTCGAGAGTTCGAGCGATTACAGTTGGAGGCAGTGGAGTCGACTTCGACAGCCGGGGGCGTATTGGCCTCTTTGGTTGTGGGACCGACTCTTCGAGAGAGGATAGTCGCCGAGCAACCGAATGACCGATTCTTATGCCGTATGAGGGAGTTGTCAGCAGCTGGTAGAATTGGTGGTTTCGCAGTCGCATCTGATGGAGCCTTGGTCTTCGAGGGTAGGCTTTGTGTTCCGACGGTGTGGGAATTGCGGAGAGAGATTTTGAGAGAGGCCCATAGTTCCCCGTACACCATCCATCCTGGTAGCACGAAGATGTATCAGGACCTGAGGAAATCCTTCTGGTGGCGAGGCATGAAGAGGCAGGTAGCGAAGTTCGTGGATGGGTGCCTGGTGTGTCAGCAAGTGAAGGCTGAGCGCCAGAAACCAAGAGGGTTGTTACAACCCCTGAAGGTTCCCCAGTGGAAGTTGGATTGCATCACCATGGATTTCTTGGTTGGACTGCCGAGATCGAGGAGCGGGTACGATTCGATTTGGGTGATAGTGGATCGCCTTACGAAGTCTGCCAATTTTTTGCCTGTCCGGACGACCATGAAGGCGAGTGATTACGCCGAATTGTTCGTC